ACCCGACTCACGATGAGGTCATTGCTCCATCAACAGTTAATCAAGAGGAGGTCCATCCCCTAACCCCCGGCACGGATTTACAAGCTTTTTAGGGATTCCTAGGAGGAGGTCAATCGCGCTTCCTGCTGAGAGAAGAATCAAAATGAAAACCAGCAGCAGGAAATGAGGAGTTTGTGATTGAACAGTAGCCATTACATGCAGCTAAAATGTATCTTACTGCAGTTCATTAACGTTTTTATACAGTTTATGTATGGCTTGTTTAGCTCCCCTTAATGAGTGATAAGTGGTTTTTTCCTTTTTGTACTTAAATAATTGTTTTCCTAGTTTTCAGGGGGTCTAAAACAGTGTTTTGGAAGCAGTGCAGCATGAAACAGAAGCTGCTGAACAATCGTGCTGAGGCGAAGGAGGAAATGTTTATCCATCCTCTTCAGGGATTTTTGCTCCCCTCCTGCTTCAGGCATGTTGATGACAGGTCCACCTCTACCTTTTTACACAGTTATTTAACAGAACTGCATTTGTCTGCTTCTTGTTTGGACAGAACCTAGAGTTAAAACCACTAAAATATTGGAAAATTAATCTTTAGCTAATATTTTGGGTCATCGCTGTATACAGGCGCTGGTCATAAAATTAGAATGTCATGAAAAAGTTGATTTATTTCAGTAATTCCATTCAAAAAGTGAAACTTGTATATTATAGTCATTCATTACACACAAACTGATATATTTCAAATGTTTATTTATTTTAATGTTGATGATTATAACTGACAACTAATGAAAACCCTAAATTCAGTATCTCAGAAAATTAGAATATTGTGAAAAGGTTCAATATTGAAGACAACTGGTGTCACACTCTAATCAGCTAATTAACTCAGAACACTTGCAAACGCCTTTAAATGGTCTCAGTCTAGTTCTGTAGGCTACACAATCATGGGGAAGACTGCTGACTTGACAGTTTTCCAAAAGATGACCACTGACACCTTACACAAGGAGGGCAAGACACAAATGGTCATTGCTAAAGAGGCTGGCTGTTCACAGAGCTCTGTGTCCAAGCACATTAATAGAGAGGCGAAGAGAAGGAAACAATGTAGAAGAAAAAAGTGTACGCGCAATAAGGATAACCATACCCTGGAGAGGATGGTGAAACAAAACCCATTCCAAAATGTAGGGTGATTCATAAAGAGTGGACTGCAGCTGGAGTCAGTGCTTCAAGAACCACCATGCTCAGACGTATGCAAGACAAGGGGTTCAGCTGCCACATTCCTTGTGCCAAGCCACTCTTGAACAAGAGACAAGTGTCAGAAGTTCGAGTCAACTTTATTGTCATTTCCATCACATGTGGTACTTGAGGTGGAACAAAATTATGTACACAAGGTCCCAGTTACACCCCCAAAAAGCAAAATATAAAGTATAAAAATAAACATTATGTAAGGATCTAAGATGTACACCAAGACATACGCTAAACACTAATAATGTAAAAAGGCTCAATGAGACTAACCTGTATAAATAAAGGTTGAATGAAAAACAAAATGGCGTTATAACAACAACAGCCCTAACATGAGTCTGTCGTGAGCAGATAGCAGATATGAATGAATACAGCAGCTTGAGAACAGCAGCATAGATAAGTCAACTATCACCAATTAAAGTGGCATTACAGTGATTTTTCTTTTTTTTTCTTACAGTGATTATCCTGGTTAGTGATTTATGAGTCTAACAGCTTCAGGGTAGAAGCTGTTCCTCAGTCTATTGGTCTAGTGGTTAAAAGCATCAAAAGAAAAACATAAAAACACAGAACAATAAAAACTAAAATACTAAATATTAACTACTAGTGTTGTAGTACTTGAGTCTTGAAAAGGAAAGTGAAAGGGAGACATGACTTACCCCAACATAGAGCATGTTACAGTAGTCCAGTCAGGTTGCAATGAAGGCATGGACTATTTGTTCAAGGTCAGATCAGGTCAACACTGACCACAGTGCTTCTTGATGAACAGATGAAGACCTAATACTCATGTATACATACATTCAACCTTGCATACATTCATTCAACCGTTATTTAGACAGGATGAACCTGTCTAAATAACGGTTGAATGAATGTAAGCTTGCTTTTAAAGTACACACCCTATCAGTTCACTCATGACTGAAACAATACACTCATGCATCAAATATATGAGTACTTCTATATAATTATGTCATATGTTTTAGAATGTAATTTGATAAGATTATTCTCTGAGTCCTTGAATTTGTTTTCAACTTTTTGGGTTCTCAGTTGGATGAGTCTTTTCTCACTCGGTCATTATCTCAAATCTGGACAGATGCCTGTTTTTCATGGCCGCCCGTCCTTCCCGACACGCTCGGTGACGCAGCACAGACCGTCATCACAACGCCTCGCGCTCCAACCCAAACACTCTTCTGCAGCTTAAGTGACGCGATTGTCTCAAACAGGTCAAGGGCCGCTGTTCAGCTGTGTTTCCGCTGAATTGCTGAGCGTGCATAATATGTATGTGTGCGTTTCTGTCTGGATATGATATGAAATCGCAGAGGAAGACATAAACAGAGCAGTAACTGCTCCCTTTGTGACATTTACAGGATAAATTAGACTATCTTTCAGCCTCCAGCTGACTCAGTGGTTGCCAACATTAACCAGCTTTTCAAAATAGTTCCTCCAGGGTTTGTCTCAGCTTACAGGATTTAGTTGAGTATTGCTTTTGAGGTGTTTAAATACTTTTGCAATCTATAAGATTGTTGCAAAGCTATAGATGAAGGTGCTGAAGGCTCGAGTGATGACAATTCATTCTGAGCGGGGAATAACCAAAACGTCTTGGCGTTTCTTTCAACAGCTTTCACAACCTTTCACAGACAACCATAAACGTGAACCTGATAGCTTTAACGACAAAAAGGTCTGCGCATCGCTGAAACCGTTTAGCGAATAGAAACCATGAATGTGTACACCCAACATGCACAACATGCCTCCAACACTTGAGGTCGAGATATTTCAGTTTAAGTAAAGCTATGTCCACAGGATCAGAACCAGTTGTGGTCTGAAGGGGAAAAACACAGGCTAAGGTATTAGGTTGGCTGGAAAACAACTCTGAATTCAGCTGCTATTATCTGAGGCAGTGTGGAGAATTACATCAGCGCATTAGAAAACCTCAGAGTCAACAACCTAATCTTCAAGTGTCCTTCATTCTGCCTCAAGCCTTCGCGTGCTTTCAGAAACTTTCTCTTTTGCAAATATACACAGCGCAACCATAAAGTACGTCTGTAAATGTAAGCTTTAGTTGGGTTTTTAAGTCTTTGGATCAAAATTGTAGGCCAAAAAATAAGTTGCTTGGTCCTTGCCCTTACAAACTGGATCATCTCCAGTAAAATAAAACCCTTGATTTGTTCAATAAAAGGTGATTTAATATCATATTTTGGGCATGAGCACAACAAATACACTCCCGCCC